ACTCAGTACGTAACCGCAAAGCCAACAAATATGAGTTTTGCAATTTGCGCACTCCACATGATTACAGCCTCCTACTTTCTCTATAACTGCTCCACAGCCATGAGGACACAACTTGGTTCTGGACTTATTTAGGACCATGTAAGCATGTACATGTAACAATACATATATATAATAACGTTCCAGAATCCTAAGCAGTCTGGTGATGTACAACGAATTATGCGATTTCGTCTGGCACAGTCAAGGGAAGCATCGATAAACTTCCTTAACTTTCTGCTGCAAGCGTAGGTCACCTCATCATTAAGCCAACCGTTCCCATCCAAACCCGACAAGAAAGCTCTTTTCCAATTCCCCCAAGCGACATCCTGGCCGAGCACAAAACCAGTAATTTCTGTAAAAATAATACAGATGCTCCCTAAATCACTATAGCCCAGATACGAAAAAATTAAGTGTAGGTAGAAAATATGCTTTTTGCAGCCCACCAAAGCGAGAACCATTGAAGGCAGTTCGTATTATCATCTCCAGAAACATCTCATATCCATACACCAAATCCCCATGCGTTTATAATTAGGCATGCTCTATTCCTGTTATGCATTTCTATTATGATACTATTATTTATTGTTAATACGTGGTTTTCATGTGCATGTGTGTCTGTTAAACAAAGATCATATAAAACAACAACAACTTGGCGTAAGATAACATACTGTATTGCACATAATATAATCACAATGAATAGGCTACTTCATGAGGACCTCTACTTGTAAGAAAGATCCAAAAGCTCAACAAGCTTTACAACCTAAACAAAATATAAGCTTGATTCGGCTTATTCCTGTAAGAAATTTCGTGTTTGAGCCACCAAAAAAGCCTTCTCGAATTCCCAGCTTAGTAGCTTTTTATCAACTCTGACCAACATAAGAGTCATATGTAGTGAGGATGCCAGATAATCCTACAGAAAGTTCACAAGACAGTAAACGTATACCCTCCGTGACCTTGCAATGGGGGCGCGATCGTGATCAATTGCTATGAAAATGTCACAGGATTGTAAAACAACGCACCATACAAAAAATTATCGAATTCCGCAATGTTCACGGTTTTGTTGTTTTTAGTTGAAAGAATGCATAATTTATACAACGGGAATAGTCGCTCGAGGAATTCGCAGTCTTGTGAACCTTAGACCTCGACCTCCATTTTCGTTCGCCCAGGGTCTCGGGCGGCCGGCCTGAAATCGGGATTTCAATCAATCTCATCCCCCTTGGTAGAAAAACGTGGGTGTATGATAAATATGTATCTGCTACAGGCTTGTGGAATTTCGGTGATTGTAAGTAAAAATCTGTGCAAAAATTATGACCGCATGCGAAAAAAAAGATAAAAGTGTTTTTATACATTCTTGAATTCGACAAATTATGAGACTTGATCTTCTCAGAAAACATAGGCCGCAGATGACACTTTTCGAGAAATCATTGATTGTAATGCAGTAATTTTGAAACTATTAGAAAGAGGGAGAACAGTGAAGGGAGCAACTGTCGATGCAGCCAATCCGGGAAACTCCCTTTTATTGTTACCCGTGCAATATGGACTACATTACTGCAGATAATCATAGGCGCTCTACACTGCATTACTACAGTATCCACAAAATGCAAGTAATTAACAATTTATTCGAACTGAAAAAACAACTATTCTTCCTTAAACAACTATTCATTCTTGTGCGAATTTTCTTCGTTGGCCTTTTGCTCCAATTCTTTGCGCATTTTGCGCCTGTAGTGAGCTTCTCTTTCAAACGATTTCTTCCAAATGGTTGAAAAAAAGGGTTACCGCTAAAAAAATCGACAAAAGAAAGAATAAGGATATTCATTCTCGTTTCGCGACAACCAGTCCATAATGTATAGCTTCTTATCATCACTTTCTCTTGCCTCTCTCACAGCACGAAGAGCCTACAATCAAATAAATATTCTTCTCCAAGAAGAATAAAATGAGCTTACTGTTGCTATAATGCACAGAGATTTCAAAAGAGTCTTCACTCATTTAAGAGATCATTGAGTGCACCATGATGCAACCTTAAATACGGAAACAAAAGATACAAGTACATTAAAATCACGGAGCACGACCCAGTTTGCAATGCAATGTAAGTATCTTCATCTTTAAAAACTTTAGAATTAGCATTCATTTTATTAGAAATACATTAGCTACAAAGATAATGTTGAATTTACAATGTGCACAGTAGAAAACTCTGTAGATTGGAAAAACACTTATTATAAAGTCATTTATCATAACCACAGTAGCAGTTGATAAAAAGAAGGAACATAGTTCAATAAGGCAGCAGCTAAATATTTAAATACCCACGTCGGTAGTGATAACAGGCTGTTAGTATGAAGTGTTCCTCATATCGTCTAGGTTCAAAAAGAGTCGTCATGGCCGCGTAGATATTCAGACACAACTGCAAAAATCAAGACAGTATATGAAATCCAGCCACTCCGCGGACAAAATTTTCTGCTGGATTTATTGAGAAGCGTGTAAGATTGAAGAGAGGCATCACGGTTTTCTGCTTAAAAAAGATTATGCTAAGAACAATAAAAAGTTCTCAAGTACGCCTTTCATAGTTGAATATTCTGCACAAGAAAAAGTACCATGACAATTTTCTAGGCAATATCCACACATCTCCTCCATACATATCCCGTACCGAAGCTTTTCGGACTTCTCGGTAATCCGCATATTCATATTTGAATGTGCACATTACAAAACTCTGTTTTCAGATGTGAAAAAAATATATTATAAAGCTTCTCACAACCACAATAGCAGCTGATAAAAAGGAACGTAGTTCAATAACGCAACAGCTAAATATTATGAACAAAAAATAAGCTCAAATTTGTCGTTCATGAACAGAAGACAAATCCAATTTATTTCGTACTCTAGTGAAAAAAATTACCTAAGGGAATAGAATTTATGAGAAGTTTCATTTAAATTGCTGAGCGCCAAAGATAAATGCTACGGTGGTCAGGGTAGACCAGGTGGTTGTTACCAACACCGAACACTTAACAAGATAACATCAAAAGTCATACTATGGAAAAAATGAAGTATGAAAAAAGGATAACATAATATACATGTCAACTAACCTCTCCTACAAAAGCTAAGCAAGAGAACAAGACATAAGCAGTAAACTTAACCAACTGTTTTTATTACTAAGCCATCCCAAAACAAAGAGAGTTTTGTCCTCTTTCTCCTTCTTTCGACTTCCTCCGCATTTTTTAGTACCTGAACCATGTTATTATGACATAAAAAAGAGTGCGCTGTAGCACTTATCGACGATCCTCGGAGGTGGGAGGTGTGTCTGAGACGTGGACTAAATCTGGGAATTATCCGCAGACAAGTACGAAAGGAATGAATGGGGCATCGTAGAGCTAGAAGAACAAAATAGTATGGAACATGTCTTTTTTCCACCAGCTACAAACATTATTTTATCGACTTGTATAATGTGCACAGCAAAGGTGTTTCCAGATGTGAAAAACATCTATTATAAAGCTTCTCACAGTCACGGTAGCTGTTAATAAAAAGATAGAACTGTAGTTCAATAACGCGAAAAGCTTTGTGCAACACCTAGTTATTACGAACAACAAACAAATTCAAGTTTGTCATTAATGAACAGAAAACAAATTTAATCTATTTCATGTCCTAGTGATACAAATTACCTAAGTGGATAAAATTTTTGAAAAAAGATTTCATTCAAAATGCTAAGGTGGCCAGGATAGATGCTGCGGTGGCCAGGATAGACCAAGTGGTTGTTTTCAACACCAACACCTAATAACATTCAAGCTCATACCATAGAAAAAATGAACTATGAAAAAAGGATAACATAACCCACACGTCAACTCTCCTCTCCAACGTATGCCCTGTTACGTACCTCTGCACAGAAACGACTCCACGCAAGCATCAGGGTAAAAATGGATACGATGGTCACAGAGGTCAGTTCCTTGCAGGCTCATGCACAACTGAATACCTATGCGGCCATGATGGCTGTTCCTCCAAAAATGGTCGAACTGAAATAAATGTGCTAAGATATTCCTGGTCCAGATCCCAATTGTGGGCACCTCCATGAAAAAAGAGTCAATTTCCAATCGCCCACAGTGAACACAACGTCCACAATTATTCGCGACGAGAGCAGGATTAGCGCGGTTCATGAATGGTTTGAAATATAGTCGAGCTGAGGAGAAATCCAAGTTTTCCGAAATTTATGTGGACATACTGAATAACATTAAAGTTTAAAACAGTATGCCCATCATGCATGCTGCATTTCCTACAGGTGTTCCCGTATGTGCCGTAAGTCAACTATTGTAATTGGGAATTCACAAACCGTCGCCATGAGCGTTTATTCCAATTCGCCATGAACGGCGCAATATGAAGTCGTTGATTGCTCGATGTCCTCCACCAACTTCCTAGTGAGTCCTAGAGCAAAGAAGGGCGATAGGTGATTCGCTCCATAAGTATACGGAAGTTAGATTCCGCTCTTCGATGGAACAACTAAGTGAAAAATTCTGTGCAAAGAGAGTTGTTTACATTTGAGAAGTGTATCTATCTGCTATATGAACACCCTGTGTAAGGAGCTACCTTTGAATCCTCCAATGAAGCTGATCGCAATCGGCTACTATACACAAAATCGGGATTGCGCGGTTTCTAATTGCAGCACATCGCCAACTATGCAAAATATATGATATAACAACACCTTTATTTTCTCACGCGGAACAATATGCATTTCAGACAATAGTAGTGTCCACATCTCAATGCATAGAAGGAGTCAGTGATCAACGATATACAGGCTGGGCACTTAGGCTTACCAGGTAATTTCTGCTGTTAATTTCCCAAGCTGCAACACATGCCCCTCTCACCTCGAACACTAAAAAGCAAATAACATTAGTTTAAAACATGAGAGGCTTACTCTATCGTTGATTTCCTCAAGGTACTTCCTGAGTAAATCGAGATGCAAAACGGTTTCCTTAACTTTGCCATACTCATTATACTAACTCCACATCAGCTCCATCTAGATTTCTGTAGAAAAACATCGTCAAATTCCATCGCTGAAAAAATATATCACCAACCGAAGCTTTTCCGTGCCAATATCAAAACAGATTACTCCGAGTGTGGACGCAAAATAAGTTGATGGAAGCAAAGAGATTAGCTCATCCATTTGGAAACTGTTCCTGAAAGCAAGAAACAATATTAGTTTTTGTACGAGTTGAACACTTTACGTAACTTATTTTCCGCATAAAAAATCAACTTTTGCTTTGCTTTCTCAGTCATATCACCGACGAGATTGACCCGCTCTCTTACAAATCCACATCTATGACCACGCGTTCTCGCAACTTCCATCGTATATATTCCAGGTATTTGAGGCCATACCTTTGACAAAATCGATGAAAATGAACATCTTAACATTTACAGATAACTAACCTACAGCAGGTAGGCATTCACCTCATTGAACATCAATGTAAAATCCATTTTCAAGCCTATAAACTAATACTCATAATAATTATAACTTCTACTCTCTGCATAATAAATCAAAAGTTAATTTCTCCATAAAAAGGAGTTTTTTAGTAAACAAAATGAGCTCATAGAAACAGCTTATAATAAAATATTGTATACATACCTAAACGGCCATCCGCAAATAGTTATGAACGTAAAATCATTTTCTCTACTCTAATCTTTGCACCTTTGTGGAAGGTGGGCCAATCCATTAAGGATAAATCCCTGTTTTGGTTACGGGAACGAACTTCTTTAGAAGAAAAACGGTAAAACTATGCGAATTCCTCTATGAAAGCCAATGCGCATATACATGTCTCTAGAGAGGAGACCAAACATGAGTGTAGACGCCTTATTGTTAGGGCTCTAGGCTCAATGTAATCATGCACATCGTTGAACATCCCTTTAGATGATCTGTTAATCAAATACAAAAGTATATTCGCACAGCAAAACGCAATGAGCTGAAACTTTCGTCCTTTTTTGCAATTTTACAATATCGCTTATGACGAGTCACCTATTATTCCACAAAAATAAGAAAAACGTTAGAGGTATAGCTGCAGATCAATTGCAGTTGTGCTGCAGTATTTGGATAGCATAAAACAGTGAGCAAACCGAGAGTTGTTCAATAACCCATAGACTGTTTTGTTATCATCAAAAATTTCAATTCTCGTTTTCATTCACACATTCCGCGAATTTCATTCACATATACGAAATAACGAGAAAACCACAACCAGCGTAAATAATGAGAGAAAGGTGGAATTATTGGCACAACAACACAATTATTGGTTTCAGTGTGACTTTGCGGAAAGATTAGATTTCAACAGTTGCAGCCCTTAGAAATCAGAGGAGACCATTAAAACTTACAAAGCAATACAGCTACAATTCATTATGGTCACTCAACATGCCGAACCCTCCAGAATATGAAACAAGTGATAAAAACGCATGAATAACCAACATATAAAGGTTTGCATATGTCGTCTATCCTCTCCAATACCGACACAGCGCATTCGTCCTCGAAGCTCCTCCTCACCTGATATAACCGTCGCAAATCACCTCACTTTTACCGTAAATAGCAAAGCGACTGAATATATCGGATAAAACTTGACCTATAAATAACAAATTTAGCGTCCACAAACATGACTAATAAATCCAGTACCTTTCCGAAGTATTTCGTCATGTCTGCGATTCTATCATTCAAAAAACCATCGCTGATTACGAAATCTTTCACAACTAAGCCGTCCTGGATATTTTTGAAAACCAAGTTTTAACGCAGGGAGCCCAAGCTCCTTTAAAGGTGGGAGAAGATGAATTTCTCCAAAACCAGGGGCTTCGCTCCGATACAAAAAAGTGAAAGAAGCGAAGGTTGAAACTAAGAGACTTCACAAAAAAACAACTTACGTCACTCCAGGTGTCTTCCACCGGGTATATCATAGATCCAATTGTTCGTATTCACGAGATATTTCGCAATTATGCGACTGATAGTAGACTGCATAAAACTCCTTCAAACATGTGCTACATTCGATTGATCTATAATGGGTTACATAAAAGCTCATACTCTTCTATCACGTGAGTAGCCCTTTCCAACGTTAACAGTCATGACATCGATTCCGATTCCTTTAGGAGCTAGCCGACTTTCCGAAATCGCTCAAACTCATAATCGTTTTGTATATCTTTTGACAGTGGATCTATGGTCCTCTAAAAAATTCCCAGTTTGGTGTACATCGACTAAGACTTTTCACCCGATATCCTAGTGACTCTAACGCCTCATCACTTCTGCTAGCATCCTTACAGCTCTTGAACTAAATGTACTTTTTGCTAAAAGCAGCAGCTAAAATTGAGTGTTACCTCCACTACAGCACTACCTGTACAAGGATTGCCATACCAGGAAACTTTGTAAGTCATTTGACCTTTGATGGAATTCCACTGAGATGAGCCGCACAGCAAACACCTGTTAAAAAGTAAAACCATCTACATTACTGCAGCCTTATCCAACAATAGTAAAGCTAGTATTTCGACCGTTGAGCTGTGATAGTGGTGTACTTCTTCACAATCGTTGATGCTCTCAAACTCAAAACTTGTTGGGTTTTTGAACTGACGGATACGTTGACCACTGAGCGATGATTCGACTATTTTTTTTTCTGCCGAAGTCATCCATCGCGCCTAAACCAATGCAATAAACAAGAATAACACATAACACATATCAATTAAATCAACGCTTGTAGATCCAGTACAGAAACTCTGCCGATATTGATTTAGAACTGATGCAAGCGGATCAAAGTTTGGTTGGCGTAGGTCAAATCTTACTTCTCTGGTGGTATTTCGCTTCTCCGAAAGTAAATCCGGAAGCTTATTTAGACTATCACACGCATTAAGACTATATTTGTAAACTCCTCAAATACTCTTATATAATGTTGAACACCACTGCATTATGAAGGTTTATTACAAATATTTTACATTAACATTCACTTCATTGATAAACCCGCTTCAAAGTTATTCAAGGCTCTATAAACCCGAAAAATATACTTACAATAAACATCTACTAACACATACAATCTAAAAAATGTGGAAAAATAAAAAATCTTTTGATTCAAAATGGATCGCGTAAATTTCTACACACCCACAGACCCAGAACTTTGGGTATGGATCTTGTCTGACATGCTCATTACAGATATGGCCCACAGGCTGCGAAATAAGGTGGCGCCATTTATTCCTACCGGGCTGGCTGCACGGGCGGTTCGCGCGCGGCAGCGTGAATAGCGTGGGGGCGCGCATTGGATGGGTATGGCATTTCCACGTACCGTTTTCATCGGCTCAAATGTAAACGAGAAAGATTTGTAAAGATTTTCGCTCGTACCGTAGGATACCGAAAGCTGCTATGCGCAAGGGGATGCTTAATGAAGACATTGGCTTCTACTTCAGTAAACGCTACGTTGATTTTCTGTTACCTTATTGACTGGTTGGCAGTCGAGGATATTCAACAACTTCTAAGTGTGCCTAATCAGTTATCTGAAACGATTGCTTTTCTTCATGTGATAAGGGAGAAGACGAATGAGTTTGCATATTCTTCCTAGAGTAACGAATCTAAATCTATTCCGTGATCCTTACATGTAAGTCAACATCAGTTGTGTGTGTGATCCATATATGTAAGAGTGTGCTTCAAGACTCAAGTCTTGTAAACTTCTAGGTTCAAATATCTCAAGCTGACATAATCCCATTATGCTGGATTAGATAGATAAGGAGGTCAGAAGGTTTACAGTTGCTGCCTACATTTCGATATCAACTTTTGATCAAATTTCAACAGCATTTTTTTCCAGCATTAGCCACTCAGCAACCTTAGCTTCGAGTAGCTTGGTACCTGAATACGCTGTTCGTACATAATCGATTAAAAACGGCTAATGCTAACCAGCAAGAGGTATGCTAGAAAAGATACAACTCAGCCGACACTTCAGATGAACTGACACTGCAGCAAATGTCCTGTACCACACGAATTCTACCGTTTGTGTGTTCTCGCACTAAGGACCCTCTAATGTATGCATCCGCAATCAATCCATGGAAAGTCATGTCAGAAGCGTTCGTAAGAAAGTACTGCTTGATAAACAAGCAACTTCAAGAATCCTACCTCTGCTTGGTTGTATCACTCATGAAACTGTTAAGTATACCAAGTAAGGGGTAGAGGAACGAACGCCTCAATTAGGCATCGCCTCCGCGGGCTGCTGGTCCTTTCATCCTACTCTTGTGCATCGTGTTGGGACCAGTGGTCCGCGGAGGCGGTGCCTAATTGAGGCGTTCGTTCCTCCACCCCCAAGTAAGTAGTGATAGATTCGTAAACTACTGTAACTGACTACATTTCGGTGACTTGCAAAACCTTACGCATTCTTCCAATTTCAACGAACAAATGAGCATCAGATGTTCACTAGAAATTCCTACTATAGAACACAAGCGAGCAATCTCATTACTTTTGATGACACCTTGGTTCACAATCGTAATGGTTTGACCCGAGTAGCGAAAATAAGCTTACTCCCCTCACTTCGATATTCTCTTGTGATCGATCGAAAGACTTAACAGTAAGATATATAGCACAAGTGTGGCTTAAAGTCAATGAGTGAAATAAGTGATTAGTCAGTAACGTCTAAGCAACAAAGCAAGGAAACAAAAAATGAAATATAGGGAGAGATATCGGGAGAGACTTGGGTGAAGATTATGGCAGAGCAATAAATGCCTTTGTCAGCATTCTCCTTTCTGATAGAGCGAAAATCCTCCTCAGCACAACTGGATCGAGGGAATAACCTAAATAAATGTCGCAACATAGGAAACAATGCGCGCTCCACGCTCCTCGTATAACACTTTTTCAATGACGTAAAAGCTAATAAACTCCATCTAGTGATGTTATGATTGAAAAGTTCTGCTGGGAAGGCATATTGCCCATATAGTTTTAAGGAAGAAAGTACGAATACTTGGAGAACAACGTTTGAAGTCAAGAAAGATGTCGCGTTTGATGAAGCTCATTCTCCAAAGTAGAAATGCACGTCTTACAGCTCGCACTTTTTCTCTAGACTCTCTCGTACAGCATCCTTCATGTAGCTCTCGTTTTTGTGGCTTTTCTTAGCTGATATATTGTACCCTCGATATCATCCCATATGTCTTCAACAACATGACGTGGATTACGTGGCTTGATGAGGCGCCGCCTCGCCTCGGGCTCGCGCCACGTTGCGAGCGCATCATTTGGCGCGACGTGGCGCTCAGCACAACGTGGCGCAGGATTTTCCACGTTCTTCTTGTTGCCACATCACGCCGAAAATGCGCACGCAATGTGGCGCAAGCCCGAGGCGAGGCGGCGCCTCATCAAGCCACGTAATCCACGTCATGTTGTTGAAGACATATGGGATGATATCGATGATACGTTCCTTTCGGTGTAAAATTTTCTCAAAGCGTTAGCAGTTTTTTCCGTCAAAGCCTTAGAGGAGGATAAGGACGATTCGCGTTCGTAGTGCTTTCCGCACAAAATCACTACTCGCGCGAAACACCCTGCGGCGGCTTTGCAGTCGGAAGAAAGATTTGCGGCCTGCTGACGTGTTACGACAAGTCAAAATCAGAACAGCGCTGGAGACCGCCCGTAGTAGTGATTTTGTTTTCTAGATCACTAACAAAAGAAATATCACCGTATTTTGCTAATATTTATATGTCTTGAGATTTCGTGATTCCGGCGCTCGTGCTAGTATTCTCTTTGTGAATATATAAAACCGTTCAAGAGAAAGAAATTTGGAGAGAACATTAGCACCCGATCACGAAATTTCATGTTACGGTAATAAGAATATAGCAACACACCGATTTGACAAAGATATTGTAACAATCTCAACAAAGTATAAGCACGACAACAACAAAGTTAGAATCCCGAATAACTGAAAACATCTTCTTGCTCGGCCAACTCCAAAAGCATAGGATCGTAAAAGAATTTGTTGACAGAGACATCCTCCGACAAACCATTCCTTCTCACGGGAACAAATTTCACTGCTCTCAGAAAGTGAACTGTAAACAAAATCAATACTTTCGAGTGCGGATGACGATTGACTTGTCTAACGGATCTCCAGGCACGATCTGAAAAAAGTTTCTTCTGTATGGCATTAAAAAATGCATGTATAGATAGTTGTTAATATATTTACAAAGATGATGAAAACTAAGATAATTTGGGAAACAAGAGAACGAATCTAACCTGCCAATGGTTGAACACCGACATGCAGAATGCCTGTCCTTGTGTATGCGTTCGCAAGACAGTTTCGAAACCAAATAAGTCCATCACAGGATGAACGCCTGAACAATGCGAATTCCAAGCGAAGGGAAGAGAAATAGTTACATGTCTCTCCCGGATGTGAGTAACATAAAACTACACCTTTATTGAATATGTAGGTGAACCAGGAATGGGAGCGTCGGTTGTCACATGACCCCTTCGTTTTGCTACACAGTGTATGCCGAAGAAACGCAGTCAGCGGATGCGAACACTTCAACGACAAAGGATGGCTCCACAACACCGGGTGTAGCCATCTGGAAAATAAGCATAGATCACAGCAAGGAAGCCGATAAGATAGAGGAAAACCTAACAAAGGCAGAGTAAGCACATCGTCGAGCTGTTGCAATGAACTGTCCACCACCTCCGTACAATGACTCCTTTACTATAACGACGTGCAGCATTTTGAACTTCACATTTCGGATACCTCAAATCACATCGTAATATACAAGAACCAATTGGAGCTGTCGTTAATCCTACGTTCTTTACAAAGTGGACCCTCACAAGTTGCCCATTGGTAGCCTTGCACAAGAGACTCGCATACACTACCGAGAAGTTGCTTGTCAACCTGAATAATGTAACCACAATGACAGGTAATATGAAAAAGGAATATAAAGTCAAAATTACCTAAGAAGATAAAGTATCATCGAGCAAAACATTAGGGCCAGCGACATCCGGCTCAAATGCCCAGATAGATCTAGCTGCTAGCAAATCCCAGTCATATTTTGTTTGGAATAACTCTCCAATCCTGCGCCGATTCCAACCAATTTGAAGCATCTAAAGATAGATTTGGCTGCAAACCCTGCAATCGAAAGTTATCTACGCTACCTTATTCTCGATATCTTCAGCTAAACCTTTTTCGAATGGTTCAGAGATCATTGTGATTTTGTTTCTGTAGAGAACAATTAGATAACGGAGTAAAAGTTTGGGAAAGAACATAATGCTTTTTAATCGGCGTTTCAGTGAAACAATTCATTGATGATGTCTCCACAACGATCTTACAGAATGTCACAACAGGACCAGCCACTTTGATGTCGATTTCAAAGAACATCTGAAAACCAGCAGCAGTAATAAACATGCTGAAAAAAATCTAGAAGAAGCATTACCTCTCGCATATCATGTATGACGCTGTCCATATATATAGTTCACCAGTTTCCCAGCAAAACATGTTCTCCAGATTCTTCAACACGTGCTATACGCAATCGATAAGACTTGCTCACCTCAAACGTGATACTTGATAACACTGAAGAATGAGAAAGATCCACTTACTTTTCGTAGACCATCCAACATTTTCGGCAATTCAGAAGGGTCGATTGGCTCGATGGCCATTTTGACTACACTCTCAGTGTTGAACATAAGCGAACGGAAAATCTACATCTAAATCAACAAAAGCTTAAAAAATGCAAATGCGAGAACGACAAAAACACTGACATCCTCCTCATACTCCAGTTCGATGTCTTTACAATAGGTTCATCGATACCTTTGATGAGGGCCCAGCCCAACCGGTCTTCAATTTGATACTTAAACCAAAGTCAGTACAGAAATTGTAAAAACCTCAGAGTCAAATGGTTTTACCTAGCCATATGGACCCATAGCCTGCCTGCCGCGTTCGTAGTGCTTTCTGCACAAAATCACTACTCGCGCGAAACACCCTGCGGCGGCTTTGCAGTCGGAAGAAAGATTTGCGGCCTGCTGACGTGTTACGACAAGTCAAAATCAGAACAGCGCTGGAGACCGCCCGTAGTAGTGATTTTGTTTTCTAGATCACTAACAAAAGAAATATCACCGTATTTTGCTAATATTTATATGTCTTGATATTTCGTGATTCCGGCGCTCGTGCTAGTATTCTCTTTGTGAATATATAAAACCGTTCAAGAGAAAGAAATTTGGAGAGAACATTAGCACCCGATCACGAGATTTCATGTTACGGTAATAAGAATATAGCAACACACCGATTTGACAAAGATATTGTAACAATCTAAACAAAGTATAAGCACGACAACAACAAAGTTAGAATCCCGAATAACTGAAAACATCTTCTTGCTCGGCCAACTCCAAAAGCATAGGATCGTAAAAGAATTTTTTGACAGAGACATCCTCCGACAAACCATTCCTTCTCGTGGGAACAAATTTCATTGCTCTCAGAAAGTGAACTGTAAACAAAATCAATACTTTCGAGTGCGGATGACGATTGACTTGTCTAACGGATCTCCAGGCACGATCTGAAAAAAGTTTCTACTGTATGGCATTAAAAAATGCATGTATAGATAGTTATTAATATATTTACAAAGATGATGAAAACTAAGATAATTTGGGAAACAAGAGAACGAATCTAACCTGCCAATGGTTGAACACCGACATGCAGAATGCCTGTCCTTGTGTATGCGTTCGCAAGACAGTTTCAAAACCAAATAAGTCCATCACAGGATGAACGCCTGAACAATGCGAATTCCAAGCGAAGGGAAGAGAAATAGTTACATGTCTCTCCCGGATGTGAGTAACATAAAACTACACCTTTATTGAATATGTAGGTGAACCAGGAATGGGAGCGTCGGTTGTCACATGACCCCTTCGTTTTGCTACAACAGTGTATGCCGAAGAAACGCAGTCAGCGGATGCGAACACTTCAACGACAAAGGATGGCTCCACAACACCGGGTGTAGCCATCTGGAAAATAAGCATAGATCACAGCAAGGAAGCCGATAAGATAGAGGAAAACCTACCAAAGGCAGAGTAAGCACATCGTCGAGCTGTTGCAATGAACTGTCCACCACCTCCGTACAATGGCTCCTTTACTATAACGGCGTGCAGCATTTTGAACTTCACATTTCGGATACCTCAAATCACATCGTAATATACAAGAACCAATTGGAGCTTTACCTAGCCATATGGACCCATAGCCTGCCTACTGTTAGACACCGACAGTCTTCCTCATCCTAGAATTAGATATCAGGGTTTGCGAGGTTTTTAACATGAAAGAGCTTGCAAAGACTACAAAAAGAGAAAAAAGCTAAATATAAAAAACTAAAAAAAACTGAAATCCTGTATAGAAACTGTGAAGAAAAGTCTCTAAGCAAAAATTTTTGATAGGTTTTTTTACCTGAATACTGTTGTTCTCCCCAAGCACCCATACATCTGCATTGTTTTCGATGGTATCGCTAATGACACGTCCAAGCACTCCGAAAGAGGTAGCTTCTGCTGTTGGATAGTTCGTGGTAGTGTGAACCATCTATGGACCCTATTACTAACAAGTTTTAACATGGAGTAAAATTTATGAAGAAAAACAGCACTAACATTTGCTTCAAATTTGGACGCCTCCGCTGCTAGCTTGCTGTCAGCAGGACCATGCCAGATGTGTTCCACTTTCGTCTATGACTTCTCTATGGGAGATTTAATGTTCTTCACAACTAGATCCACAAATGCTGTAAATATGTCAATAGCAACACGATCAATATGTTACGCCATAACTTATGTACCTTTGAAATCTCCAAAGAAGCGCTTGCAAATAAGCGCAATGAATGGTCGCACATTCATTTTCTGCTCTTCTTCTGTAAGCTTACCCCAGAGCCGACGTGCAAACTCATGAGCATGCATGTTTCCTGAATTCACACTATGAGACTGTCTTCATAGCGTGTGAATAGTTATATTTACGATATCGATCAGCATAGATGTTGGTAAAAGAGAGGAGCGAGAAGCATAAGTTGTAGTGGCTAGATGCAAAATCAGATTCTCTAGCAAAGAAGACAGCAGTATTTTCCTCCGTTGAGAACGTTCTGAAACGGTCTTTTCCTCAGAAATAAACAAATTAGACGGAATTCTGAGCTGCATACTTACTGGAGCAAAGCATTCACTTGGTCGATAACCAGTCGCAGTTTGTAGTAAGCATCCGTGGAAGCATCTTCACCTTCAAAATTAGGCGATCGATTATATTGACACATAACGTGATGGGCAAAGGTTCCTGAATAGCATGTCGGATTACTCGTTCAGTGTTCATCATGACATAAACGAACGAAATATCGCAAAGCCTATGTGAACCAAGCAGTAAAATGTGGTATACTACTATTACTATACTCTGCATACAAAATCTGCAAAATTTTGGGGCAAATGGAACATTTCTTGTAAACACTTACACCTTCGTGTGCGTCAACAACAATGAGAACACCATCACAAACACGATAAGCTGCTCTTACTTCGTCCGAGAAGTTCATGCGATCCGTAAAATATAAAATGCTAAATCAACGCGCAATGAGACCTACAATCATCATACATGAAGTACACACCTTGAGCATCAATAATATTCAAGAGGTAACTCTTATGGCGAGTGTCTTGCATCACAGTTGTGACAAACATTGCCTTAATAGAGCAACCGCTAAAAATAACAATTATCGAAGCGTCAACAATAGCCTAAGCAAAATTACTGTTGTTGCTCAATAAAAAGCGTATCCGTGTATCTAGTGTCAGCATCTTCTGCACGGAAAAACTCAGGATGTGTTTCTTCCATGAGGCAATCCAAAAAAGTTGTCTAGATTCAAAAGCAGTAGTTGCTACGTTGACTTAACATAACAAGAAATCTTACCTTTCCATGATGAAGATGACCAGCAATGGCTACATTTCTCATTATATGAGGACAATCCATAAGAGCAGCCAGATACTCTTTGTTGTAAACAGTCTCAGATAGATTGTGTTCCACCGACTAAACAGCACGATGAGATGGACATAATAAATTATAAAACAACAATATCTTATTACCTGGAATTTCCTCTGCGCAACTGGTTTGATGATGGGTTCCATAAGAGGCTGACCATCTCTTCTTCTATGATGGTTTCCACATTTTCACCATAAACCTGAACAGGTTCCTCCAATGAAGCTCTCCAAAATACGAAACAAGCGATAAAAAGGTATAAATAACCAACATATAATGGTTCGCACATGTCGTCTACCCTCTTCAATACCGACACGGCGCATTCGTTCTCAAAGCTCCTCGTTAGCTGATATAACCGTCGCAAGCTACCGCACTGTTACCGTAAATAGCAAAGCGACTGAATATATCGGATAAAACTTGACCTATAAATAACAAATTTAGCGTCCACAAACATGACTAATAAATACAGTACCTTTCTGAAGTATTTCGCCGTGTCTGCGATTCTATCATTTAAAAGGCACCGTTGATTAGGAAATCTTTCACAACTAAGCCGTACCGGATATTTTCGAAAACTAAGTTTTAATGCGGAGAGCCCAAGCTCCTTTAAAGGTGGAAGAAGATGAACTTCTCCAAAACCAGGGGCTTCGCTCCGATACAGAAACTGAAAAAAGCGAAAAACTAAGAGTCCTCACAAAAAAACAACTCACGTCATTTCAGGTGTCTTCATCGACCGGCATAACATAGTTCCAATTATTCGTATCCACGAGATATTTCGCAATTATGCGACTGATGGTAGACTGCATGAAACTATATTCTATTAATTTATAATGAGTTACATAAAAAGCTCATACTCTTCTATCCCGTGAGTAGCCCCCTTCAACGTAACAGTCATGACATCGTTTCCTTTAGGAGCTAGCCGACTTTTTTGTAATCGCTCGAACTCGTAATCGTTTTGCATACCTTTCGACAGTAGACCGTCCTCTAAAATTGCTAGTCTTAAACACAACGAGAGCCCTTTTTAATACTTAAGAAGTTTGTTTTATATCGATTAAGACTTTTCACCTGATACCTAGTGACTCTAACGTCTCAGTATGCAAGCATCCTTATTGCTCTTGAACTAAATATATTTTTTTTTGTTAGCAGCAGCTAAAATTGAGTGTTACTTCCACAACAGCACTACCAGTACAAGGATTGTCATACTAGGAAACTTTGTAAGTGATTTAAACTTCGATGGAATTCCACTGAAATGAGCCGCACAGCAAAACACAGGCGAAAACTAAAACAGCAGCATGATCACTCTTAAAGAATTTTTATGGGGACATAAATAAAATGTAAACCTAAACTCAGTACTAACCGCAAAGCCAACAGATATGAGTTTTGCAATTTTGCGTACTCCACATGATTACAGCCTCCTACTTTCTCTATAACTGCTCCACAGCCATGAGGACACAACTTGGTTTTGGACTTATTTAGGACCATGTAAGCATGTAAATAATATATATATATATATATATATATATATACAATAACGTTTCAGAATCCTAAGCAGTCTGGTGATGTACAACGAATTATCTTGCCATTTCGTCTCGCACAGTCAAGGGAAGCCTACAGCCCAATTACGAAAAAATTAAGTATAGGTAGAAAAAATACTTTCTGCAGCCCACCAAAGCCATAACCAGTGAAGGCAGTTCGTATTATCATCATCAGAAACATACTCATATCCATACACCAAATCCCCCTGCATTCATAATTAGGCATGCTCTATTCCTGTTAGGCAACTCTATTATGCTACTATTATTTATTGTTGAATACGTGGTTTTCGTGTGCATATGTGTCCGTTAAACAAAGATCATATAAAACAACAACAAATTGGTGTAAGATAACATACTATATTGTACATAATATAATCACAATAAACAGGCTAACTCATAGGGACCTCTACTTGTAAGAAAGATCCAAGAACTCAACAAGCTTTACAACTCAAATAAAATATAAACTTGATTCGGCCCACCAACATAAAAGTCATATGTAGTGAGGGTATCATATACTCCTAAAAATATATACAAAACGATTACAGTTCGAGCGATTTCTGGAAAGTCGGCTAGCTCCTAAAGGAATCGATGTCATGACTGTTGAAAAGGGCTACTCACGGGATAGAAGAGTATGAGCTTTTTATGTAACCCATTATAGACCAATAGAATATAGCACATGATTGTAGGAGTTTCACGCAGTCTACCATCAGTCGCATAATTGCGGAATATCTCGTGGACACCTGCCTCCCTGGTTTTGGAGAAGTATATCTCCCCCCATCTTCAAAATAGGGAAAACAGTGAAGGCAGCAACTGCCGATGCAGCCAACCCGGGAAACTTCCTTTTATTACCCGCGCAATATGGACTACATTACTGCAGATAGCCGCTCTACACTGCATACTATACGACCCACAAAATGCAAAAAATCAACAATTTATTTCAACAACAATTTATTTTTGACGCTGCGTAGGTAAAAAGGAGTTTCGTATGGTTAAGCGAATTCGCTGTACGCGGCGCCAAATGACGACTGCTGAGTGCGCGCGTTTTGCACGCGTCCTGCAGGAAGCGGAGCAAGCGGATCAAGCGGATCAAGCGAATTAAGCGGATCAAGCGGATCAAGAGGGATAAGTATGGCGGGTGCCTTATTTCTGACCGTCTTTTCGACTCGACTGCATTATAGAACCGAACGGGTCATCGCCTTGGTACAGACTCAAAACCAAGCGTAGAGATTTCGTAGCCGCTGTAAGTGCACAAACTTCGCCAAAAATATTTACTGAGTTTGTCTCTCACCAACCACGGAAACCAGGGTAGCCCGCAGTGCATACGCTGAAACTGAGAATTCAAAAAGTACTCCAAAGTGAAGTTCAGAAATCACAATGAAAACACGGGTAAAATTGGGATTTATATGTTTTCAAGGTCCTTTTTTCGGTAAGAATGTCTGTTTGCTGAAAGATGATAGTGAGATTTCAAATGCTAAAAGTGAGGTTTCAAAAAAGTATTCCTGATTGAAGTTCAGCAATTTCAGTGGACCATCCATGGCCAGAATTGGGAATACGTTTTCGATGTTGTTCTTTTTCTAGCTATGGTTGTTCGCCAAAAAACAAGAAGCATAATCCAAGTTCACAGCAAAATGTACAAGGTGAAGGTTAAATAATGAGCTCACGCCAAAATCATAAGTTCTTTTATTTCGATATTCGTACATATAATATGCGTATGACATCACTGACCTCGCAATAACAGGTGCACCGCTTGTAGCCAACAAGACGGCAAATAAGTTTTGCTTGATAATGGATCTATGGATATTCATGAGGCATCTCCGCAATACCAGTCAACTGATTATGCTACATGAGATACAGGTCATAACTTTTGTGCGCCTGCGGCATTTTGCCCGAAGAAAACCTTTATGAGGTCAGAACCATGCAACGCGGGGAAAAGGAGACCGTAATACATGCACAACTACGATCAAATACAGACAAGTTTCTAGTTTCACCCATACATAATTTCAAAAAAACCGGGTTCTGTAGTTGTAACCGTTGGATTCTGATTTTCAGAAATTCTTTGTAGCTCTTGCGTGTCTTTGTAACTCCTGACCTTTTACGCAAAACAGACATTGCTACTGCAAAAAAGGACCTCGAAAACATATAAATCCCAATTTTGGCCGTGACTGGTCCACTGTGATTACTGAACTTAAGTTTGAAGTACTTTTGGAAGTCTCAGTTTCAGCATATGCCTGTTGGGTTCTGTAATACAATCGAGTCGAAAAGACGGTCAGAAAAAAAGAAATCTCATTTTTCTGATATTAGGCGTCAAATCAAATGTAAGTCCGTAGTCTGCAGACGTTACGCACTCTTTATTTTTTGACTCCTAAGTCAAAAACGATGTCGGTTTGACTTTTATATAATCCTGTAACCCTAGAGAATGAGAGAGAGAGAGAGAAAAAAAGCATAGTTTCTGAGAGAAGATGAGATGTTTATAAGGGAAAAAGAAGTTCTCAAGAGGTGTTCAGAATTGTGAAGATGAGGAAATCATGTTTGCTTCCTCTAAATTCACTTCGCCTAAATTCATTCGGAAATGATGCCGAAAAAATGCCGAAAAACCATTTTCTGACTTCTGATAGAGAGAAGACCGCTTGTTGTGAAAAATCTATAGATATCGATTGGAGCCGAGGGTTAACAGAACATAGTTGGAGCGAGTAAGTAAATAAGAAGAAAATTAGACCATAAGATGATAACGCAAAGAAAAGAGATTATATGAAGTAAGAAGACATAAACTTTAGGAAAAAGTGTTTGAACCCACCTGTTCTTCAACACAAACAAGTCTGCGCTGAAAACCCGCAAATATGCTCGCAAAAAGTTTCCCTTGATAACACCCTCGACGAAGTGCAATAAATGCAGCCGCCTGTATCGATCGATATACCAAATAGACCTAAGGGATCGTTCAGACCGCGCCGGTACCCGTCCAAACCCGCCCGAATACGTCCGAATCCGCCCGAATACGTCCAAATCCGCCCAAATACGTCCGAATACGCCCGAACCCGCCTGAACGCCGGATCTGCTAAAGCGCAGCGGGTATGCGGCAAATTGGCATATTGGAGCACGCGTGGAATACTACGTGCCTGCTGCTTATAACTTAGTTACACGTAGCTCGACGTAGGTTACATACTGATCTTTTGCAACTACTCCGATATCACAGGGATCAATCCCATGCGTGCTCCAATATGCCAATTTGCCGCATACCCGCTGCGCTTGGGCAGTTCCGGCGTTCAGGCGGGTTCGGGCGTATTCGGACGTATTCGGACGTGTTTGGACGGGTACCGGCGCGGTCTGAACGATCCCTAAAATGACCGGCGGTCAGAAGCAGTCATGAGTAAGACCTATTGCGGAACTGTAGAATTTCGAATAACAACAAATAAAATGACTTCAGCAAATGGTAGAAGAAATGAACGCTAGCAAAAGGTGAAAAACAAAGCAAACTCTACATAGACGAACCAGCAAAAAACTGTTCGCAGTTGTTGGAAGTGCGAAGACTACCGGAAGCATGAAACAAAACGCAATGTGACGACAAAGAAAACACATAAAAGAGCGAAATGCAGGGATGGACACATCTCCTTTCACTGCCG